TTTTTTTTGGACTAATTTAATCAATTCCCAAACGTAACCTTACGAGCTTAAACAATCTATTTGAACCACTGTTAAAAGATTATTACAAGAATAATTATTACGGAGAATTCTAATCCAAATTAAAAGGATAAACGATTACATATTCTCAAAGACTTACCATTTTTTATTTTTTGAAATGTTCTCAGGGCTATATTTGCTTTAAGAATTTAGTAATCTTGTCATTTTGCGTGATTAGCAAACTAGTAATCTTGTCAAAAACACAACCTTTCTTGCTCTTGTCAAACACTGCCTTTGTTTGGTAATCTTGTCTCATTTTCTTCTACAAATCCCATCTCGAATCATTGATCCAAACGAAATTTTAATCCATAGTTTATTTTAGCTATGGGATTCGGATTAAAAATCCAATGACATTATTAATCTCACAAAATGATATGATTAGCAATAACACACCTCCTATATTACTGGTAATCCCATGTAATAGTAAAATCACACCGCTCCATATGATGATCAAAAATAGTATTTTACACTTATTTCATACTATATCCTATCATAATTAACATAATACAAATAATCCCATTATATATATAATTTCATCCAATATCTTAAATATTAGTAAACTCATCCACAATCGCACCCACAATCACAAAAATCATATCAAACTCGATGTTAAATATAGAACGATGTGACTGAATGCAAACCTTTTTTAAAATTTTTAAGTATCGAATGCGATCTCAGTTATATCCACATCATTATGATAAAGAGCTTCTTAAGAACATAATTTCCCATGCACTTAAAGCAAAACTCATCGCTTTTTCCTATATTCTTCAAAAAATCTTTAAGTGCATAGAATCTGATTTTTAAATTAGACACAACTCTGTCATATGAGGTGAGACAACCCTTTCGCACAAGGTGAGATTGAGTTCCACCTCAAGTAAGAGAGTTATATTTGATTCTGTTATCAAATTCTATGTACGTTGAAGAACTGATATTCTTCTACCTGCACCGGTTTCGCCAAATTCCTTACAGAGGTGAAACTTGCTTGGTCCTTCCATTACATATATTTTCCATTAAAAAATCAATCAACTTTAACATTAATTTGAGCATCAATGCCTTTGACTCATGCAGTGATTGCCCAAGAATTTTCTAGCCTACATCTTAAAAAAGGAATGGTGGGAATGATTTTGAAGGAATGTCCATTTCCATTAAACAAAAGGAAAAGGTAAGTAAAAGAGAAAATGGGTTAAATCTATGGACAATCAATTCAAAGAAATGGAATATTTCTACTTTGACAAGGTCAATTATCATTCACTCTGACAAGCTGCTTCCAAGACATGAACGGTGTTTACGCGGGATACCTACAAAATTCCTCTGAATTATTCAAAATAACTCTGAATGGAATTTATTCGAGGGACTCTAATAACATATCTTCTGCATAATAAAGCACAATTATTTCTACCTTTTTCAGTTGCATGTTCAAAGCAAATTTTTTTTTTCCTTCTAGAATGAGATTGATTGATCTTCACTTTCGTACTTTCTATGATTTACAACCAGTTTTTCTATGGTCGACCAAATCAGAAAAAGTAAGACCTTAGGTCCCACTTTTCTGATTTTTCAAGAAATTGAGTCTCAATAAAATAAGAATTGAAGTCTCACTTTTGTTAATTTGATCGACCAATAGGACTAAAATTGACATAGTTATCATAGACCGCCAGAAGTGGACTCTTAAATGTTTCTTTCTCTGCCATGTTTCAAAGACTCAGATAAAGATTTTTTTTTCCATCTTCCAAGAAACCCAAGATTTGCAACTCAAATGGATAACATTCTCTACAAATAGTTCATCAATCAACCCAACTTCATAAATCAGAGCTTTGATTCACTGAAACAATTTAGTTGTAGTTGCCACAGATCATGATGAGGTCAATATAATCAGTCATGGGAAATTACCATTCAGTGGGAAATGGAGCAATTATTTACTGAAGAGTGAAAAATATTCTTGGAATGATAGTTTTGCTTTGTTTTCTTATACAAAAAAGAGTTGCAACCCCATATGTTTGTAATTATTTTTAGTCATGTGCTTTGATTTGTAATTTCGCAATCATTCATTTGATCTAGATATTCATTTCTGCACTTTGTTAAACCATGTTTGGCATTTGAAATGACCCATATGATCTGTATGGTCATAGTTTCTTTGGATATTGTTCTTACAATTCACAAAAAGTAATGGGAATGCTAGAGATTTTATGATGTTTTTGTTATCTTCATGCAAAAAACAGGTAGTAATGCTGAGCATATTATAATTATAAAGTAAATGAGATTCTTTCGTACAAAGAACCTAAGTTACAAATGCAAGAACTAGTCATCAATTGTTTTGAAAAATTAGAAATTAGTTTAATAAAAATAAACACCAAAAAACATTTTTAATTTTTTTTAAAAATGTGTCACGAAATAAACAAACAAAAGAGAGAGAGAGAGAGAGAGAGAGTAACGTGAAATGTATGTTTTACTTTCTTAATTTTTTTTCCATCAAACCAATTATTGAAGAATTTTCAAAAACCAGATTCCAAAAACCCAACCAAACAAAGCTCATCAACATAATGTCTTACAAACTCTTGTATCAGCTACAACGGAGAGCACTCATCAAAGAATGAGAAAACCATATGCAAAACCTACATCTTTGTAATATCAAGAACCAGCTTCAGCTGCAAGCGTCAATCTGACACCGTCTCTGAATGGAATAGGAGAAAAGTCTAGTGTTTGCATCAGTTTAGTAATATCCATGGATATGTCAGTTGGGGACTTGACACCACGATCAACCTACATTTGTCAGGTAGCAACGAAGAACAACAGGTGCGTCAATTTTCATTTCCCAGCATGCTTCTCAATTTCAATCATGCTTGCAAATTGAAAAGCACAGACACTTCTAAAAAGTTGGGGTATATTTACGTCAGACACTGACACTCATCTAACACTTCCTAACACATGTTGGATATTCATCTAAATGTGTCCTATATAATTTCCCATGCACTTAAAGCAAAACTCATCGCTTTTTCCTATATTCTTCAAAAAATCTTTAAGTGCATAGAATCTGATTTTTAAATTAGACACAACTCTGTCATATGAGGTGAGACAACCCTTTCGCACAAGGTGAGATTGAGTTCCACCTCAAGTAAGAGAGTTATATTTGATTCTGTTATCAAATTCTATGTACGTTGAAGAACTGATATTCTTCTACCTGCACCGGTTTCGCCAAATTCCTTACAGAGGTGAAACTTGCTTGGTCCTTCCATTACATATATTTTCCATTAAAAAATCAATCAACTTTAACATTAATTTGAGCATCAATGCCTTTGACTCATGCAGTGATTGCCCAAGAATTTTCTAGCCTACATCTTAAAAAAGGAATGGTGGGAATGATTTTGAAGGAATGTCCATTTCCATTAAACAAAAGGAAAAGGTAAGTAAAAGAGAAAATGGGTTAAATCTATGGACAATCAATTCAAAGAAATGGAATATTTCTACTTTGACAAGGTCAATTATCATTCACTCTGACAAGCTGCTTCCAAGACATGAACGGTGTTTACGCGGGATACCTACAAAATTCCTCTGAATTATTCAAAATAACTCTGAATGGAATTTATTCGAGGGACTCTAATAACATATCTTCTGCATAATAAAGCACAATTATTTCTACCTTTTTCAGTTGCATGTTCAAAGCAAATTTTTTTTTTCCTTCTAGAATGAGATTGATTGATCTTCACTTTCGTACTTTCTATGATTTACAACCAGTTTTTCTATGGTCGACCAAATCAGAAAAAGTAAGACCTTAGGTCCCACTTTTCTGATTTTTCAAGAAATTGAGTCTCAATAAAATAAGAATTGAAGTCTCACTTTTGTTAATTTGATCGACCAATAGGACTAAAATTGACATAGTTATCATAGACCGCCAGAAGTGGACTCTTAAATGTTTCTTTCTCTGCCATGTTTCAAAGACTCAGATAAAGATTTTTTTTTCCATCTTCCAAGAAACCCAAGATTTGCAACTCAAATGGATAACATTCTCTACAAATAGTTCATCAATCAACCCAACTTCATAAATCAGAGCTTTGATTCACTGAAACAATTTAGTTGTAGTTGCCATAGATCATGATGAGGTCAATATAATCAGTCATGGGAAATTACCATTCAGTGGGAAATGGAGCAATTATTTACTGAAGAGTGAAAAATATTCTTGGAATGCTAGTTTTGCTTTGTTTTCTTATACAAAAAAGAGTTGCAACCCCATATGTTTGTAATTATTTTTAGTCATGTGCTTTGATTTGTAATTTCGCAATCATTCATTTGATCTAGATATTCATTTCTGCACTTTGTTAAACCATGTTTGGCATTTGAAATGACCCATATGATCTGTATGGTCATAGTTTCTTTGGATATTGTTCTTACAATTCACAAAAAGTAATGGGAATGCTAGAGATTTTATGATGTTTTTGTTATCTTCATGCAAAAAACAGGTAGTAATGCTGAGCATATTATAATTATAAAGTAAATGAGATTCTTTCGTACAAAGAACCTAAGTTACAAATGCAAGAACTAGTCATCAATTGTTTTGAAAAATTAGAAATTAGTTTAATAAAAATAAACACCAAAAAACATTTTTAATTTTTTTTAAAAATGTGTCACGAAATAAACAAACAAAAGAGAGAGAGAGAGAGAGAGAGAGAGTAACGTGAAATGTATGTTTTACTTTCTTAATTTTTTTTCCATCAAACCAATTATTGAAGAATTTTCAAAAACCAGATTCCAAAAACCCAACCAAACAAAGCTCATCAACATAATGTCTTACAAACTCTTGTATCAGCAACAACAGATAGCACCCATCAAAGAATGAGAAAACCATATGCAAAACCTACATCTTTGTAACATCAAGAACCAGCTTCAGCTGCAAGCGTCAATCTGACACCGTCTCTGAATGGAATAGGAGAAAAGTCTAGTGTTTGCATCAGTTTAGTAATATCCATGGATATGTCAGTTGGGGACTTGACACCACGATCAACCTACATTTGTCAGGTAGCAACGAAGAACAACAGGTGCGTCAATTTTCATTTCCCAGCATGCTTCTCAATTTCAATCATGCTTGCAAATTGAAAAGCACAGACACTTCTAAAAAGTTGGGGTATATTTACGTCAGACACTGACACTCATCTAACACTTCCTAACACATGTTGGATATTCATCTAAATGTGTCCTATTATTTTATTTTTTTTAAATAAGACCCAAACATGCTTCAAACACTTGGGGAATATGCATGTTCATAGCTTAGACACACATGAAATCAATTATAAATTTGAACAAAATATTTTACAATATTGCAAATTTAGAAAAATTTGTGTTATGTTGCATTCTTTTTTATTATCTTTGAATGATATATTCATACCTATGGCAATGACATATAAATATATAAAATAATATACTTCGTGCGTATGCCCCACAAGTCGTGTCCTACATTTTTTTAAAATTGATATGTTGGCATGTCCGGATCGTGCCTGCATCATGTCGTGCATGTCCGTACTTTTTAGCTTGCAAATAGTATAAAATCACATTTTGCTCCTATGACATAAATATTAGAACCTAACGGATCAAAAAGAAGACATGAAAGATGAGAACAGCTGATTTTGAATAATCCCAATCGCCCATCACCATGAACCAGAGCCAGCTCATCATGATTAAGGTATTATGTGTAAGAAATATAGGACATATGTCGATGAATTTGTATATTAGGCAAAAGGAAAGCAATGAAATTTGAAAGAATACATACTGATGATGCAGATACTGATTTGATCGATGAGGTATTGTATCCTCTAATATGTGCCACAGCCTCAGCCATCTGAACTCGGGATAGCCTGTCTGGTCCACCAACATTTAAAATCAATTGCATTTGCTTACCTTCTGCAACAAAGACCATTAAAACCAATAGGTTAGTTTAGATATGTAAACACTGAGAAAAGCCATAAAATGGAAATTTTTCAGAGTACAACAATAGGTAAGAAAATTTCCCTTAACCACAATATAATAAAACAAAGACAACTTCATTATTATACTATTGATCTCTCGAAGTAATATTTCATGATTACATTATGGCATATATCAAATTATATGTCACTTTGGTGGTAATGTAGAAGCAGAAAATCTGAGGTTGAGGCGAAAAATAATGCCAAAAACTAAAGCAGTCCATCCGGGGATACCTTTTCCTTTAAGTTGAAAATAAAATACAAAAAAAAAAAAAATTAAAAAAACCCTAGACAACTCTTGTACATGAGACATCTAAATGTCGTACAACATTAACAATCCAATTGACGCATCCAGACATAAAAATGCAGAGGTTACGCACAAACGAGGCTTCGGTAATAGACATGTGTCCAGTTGGATCTGTATGATGAGGAAAACCAACTTTTGGAAGAACCTTTCTACCATATTTCCTTTTAATGTTACTTCTTAAATGTACAGTGTAAAATGAGTGAACGCCCACGCTGACATGTAACTCATATTTCAAAATTACATGACATAGCGATGTAGCATTAAGAAGAAGAAGAGAAAAAGAAAGAAATCAGGGAATCACAATCCCAAATCAGTATCTCAATGTTAAAATCCACCTACTCTCCACCTACTTCACCCACTTAAACCTACTCCACTAAACCTAACCCACTACACCACTACCACCTCACCTACTCCACTAAACCTAACCCACTACACCACTACCACCTCCACTTCACCTACTCCTTACCTACTACACACTCACCCTCTTCTATATATAGGAATCATGAATCATTGTAATTGATATAACATAACATCAATCAATAATAATACATACAATTTATTCTCTCTCTTTCTCTATACATTATTTCTTACACTCAATAATCAATATTCAAAATCACGTCATAGTGCAATCTTTCAAACCATTACATGAAGACAATATATATAAGCATAAGCACTATCTAATTAGGAAATCAAAAGAATAGGAAACTAACTAATAAATAAATAAAATCCTATTAAACCATAATTCCTAATTATACTAAAATTCCCATCATCCTTCAATTTATTGTCATCCAATGCCTTTCCAATCCCCATCACATCGTCTCTTGTTTTCTGCAGTTTATAGACTCGGATATTGTTCATTCAGCCAGAGTGCCCAAATTATGTAATAGAGTCCATTTCACTGTCAAAATCAAGTGTTATATTACAAAGAGAGAGAAATTGTCCTGAAGCTCAAAGAGTGTGTCTCACTTTTCACAAACTTTTCCATCAGTGGCCGCATGTCGGAATGAATATTTAGAATAAGAACAGGTAAAACCTTTTGTCAATTGTGGGTTTTTTTTTTGGTTGTTGTTGTTGCAAATTAACATTAATAGCAGAATCATTAAGTATAGGTATCAGAAATATCATACCTGAGATCCATTTGTTAGTCAGTGTTAGTATGACAGTTACGAGATCCTTGACATAGACAGGACAACGGAACTCATCGTGAAAGAAATCCACTGTATCTCCTTTGCAAAGGACACCATCCATCCACTACATCATTAATGCATTGATTATCAATAAACATGGCCAGCAGAATCCAATTTATAAAGATTGCACTCGGAAATAGCTTGAAAAGGGTATGTCATCCGATGCATATGCCATGACATTTTAGGATGGAGGCATTACCTTCCTTCACCAACCCACAAAAAAGGAAAAAGAAAAATGTGTGAGTTACACATTTCTTGCTCCATTTGCTTTTGTATTCAGTGGATTAGTTAGAAGACGATTACCAGCTATGAGTCCATAGCTAGACGTCCTAGATTGTCTTGCAGCAATTCAGTTCTTAGAGAAACATGACAATGACACATAATTTATAACCCAATTTCATTGGCAACAGCTAGAGAAGGAAAAACTAAAATGGTGCATGCTGACCAAGGAAAAACGACAAGTAAACCTGCCGAATAAGCAAGCCAGTTAATTCCATTCCAACATAAACAGCATTTAATGGTGTCCTAAACCCCAGCAACTCAATCTAAGGAATAGTGACACGACAAAGTAGATTTTAGAAAACTATTCTATAGAGGCAACCTTTTATTTAGAAAGTGTTATGTCAGCTTGATTTGATTGAACTACAAATCCAAAAAGAAGGCAAGAAAGAAGTCATAAATATCATGTATTCCAGTTTTTAACAGTGTTATGTGAATTAAATCTTAAGGGAGCCCGGTGTAATTATACAAAATTTGTGAGGCTTACTGTATTTTCTCCAAACCTCAAGGAAGGTCAGTGTAATTTACACTTCAATTTTTTAACTGCATTATTTCATTTTAAATTATTTTTTGCAAGCATTTCCTGAGGTAGAACAAACCACAAACACAAAGTGCAAAACAAGATTTATTAGCTGATGAAGTTGCACAAAATACAACACAAGGACTGCTGTTGTGCGTATGTACCTGAATTGGTAGGGACTTTGGAACAGGGGAGATAGTCTGTGGCCCGATGATTATACTGCTTCTCAAGATAGCAAAGTTTAAGCAGTTCGTTGAAATGAACTGCTCTGCTGCCATTTTAGATTTTCCATAAACATTCACAGGAACAGTTTCATCCTCTTCCTTGTAGAAGGACTTCACTCCTTCATAAACTGCAAGCGAATTACATCAGTCTCAATCTAGCCACAAGAAGAAATACAACATCAAATAAAATAAAATAAAAAATTAACAGTTCAAGTAGAGAAACAAGATCTTGATGTGATCAATCCAGCTGAATACCAAAAGAGGGATAAAATGAGTAATGATCTTATCAAAAATAGAAATACGTAATGAATGTACCCCAAAACAGTTTCACAGTTTTAAACCAAAAACATTCAATCAATCTAGCGGTTAACTATAAGAACTAGAAAATGCTTGAGATTTGAAGGTCCAAAAAAAAGAAAGAAATAAAGAAAAGACGGATAATTTTATAAAGCAATTGTCTAGAAAACAAGGATGACATTTTAATTACTTGTGATGCCCTTAGGTAGATTTTATGGTGAAACAAACACACACACACACAAAAAGAAGGAATCATGTAGCCAAGCAAAAGTGGTATGGAATCTCAACATAGCTTACTTGAGTTGAGCATAGGTGAGTATAGATATTTCCTCAATTACAACTTATGAGGTTTAACCATATTACCAAAAATGGGTAAATTCGTCCTACAGTAGATATTTTTTTCTGGTTAACTAAATTATGAAATGCTGTGATAAATCAAAGTCAATCAATCTTTCAATAAACTTGAATCAAATCAACCTTATCCCAAATTACTCTAAGTCTAAACAGCCAAATCTGCAAAAAGCAAATCTCTTAACTCTGCATTTATGCAGCATAGACAGATTATAAGATAACATGTTCAGCATGCTCTACCTTGATCAGTTGATAGATGAATCAGAAGAGTAATGTTCTCTTTGAAGGTTGATAACCATTTTATAAGAGCAGAAGGCACATTAATAGACATGGCTGCTGTAGGATCCATTTCGCAGGCACGAGGAACGGAGAGTGCAGCGCAATTGACCACCACATGAGGCTGGTAATCAAAATTGATAGGCATCAGCACTTATAACATAGTAAATAAATTCCTCAACACTATGTTTGGATCATGGATTGGATAGGGATTTAGAAAGTGAAAGGGAAATAGATAAAAATTTAGCTTATATTTTATTTACATTGTCCTCACCATTTCCCTTTCCCTCTCCAAATCTCTCACTAAATCCATGATCCAAACATAGCCTACATATGATAAATTGAGAATATCATGCATGCAAGCCTAATTCTAAGATTTTGAAATTTGCCTTATGTAATAACAACTTCATGCCATGTTTGGTTCATTGGAAGGAGCTGGAATGGAATGATCAATCCATCAAAACCTCCATTCTTACGTTTGGTTCATTAAAAACTTCATAAAAAATGCATGCAAAAAGAATCATCATTCATCATTTTAAGGGAATGCTCATTCCATTAGGAGGCTAAAGAATGACCACTAGATTCCAATCAACTTTCATTCCAATTAATCAAACACTACCTTTGTATTTCTTACAAAAAATTGAATGCATAGAGAAATTACAATTGACTGAATCTCAAGATCCCTGTTTTTAATTGAAAGAAGGAAAACTTCTCTTGTACATTGATTCAAACATCCAAGTGCCAAACTATAGTCTTCCTTGTTATAAACAATTAAGAAAAATAAGTCAAGCCTATCAAACCAAATTGAAAACTACTAATAGTACAAATTACAATCAGTTTCAGATCAAACTGTAGTTAGGTTATATAAGCTACTTCATTTACAATCAGTTTCAGATCAAACTGTAGTTAGGTTATATAAGCTACTTCATTAAAGATGGAAACAAAATGTTTCTTTTTTTAACTCCTGAGACCTGCCAGCAACAGACTAGGGGCAAAGTGGACAGAAAAAAAAGACAACCATTAAGAGCTCAATATGTAATATATAGGCAATTTCACTAATTCATAGGAAAAAAGGTTGTGTTTGGATATTGAATTTGAAAAGGGATTTGTGAAGGGAAAGGAAAAGGGGGGAAAAAATAGCATAAGGCTCCATAAATCCAAGATCCAAACACACCCTAAGGCAATCTTTGGCCTCCCATGAGAATTGAACTTTAGATTCCATGTATATATGTGCATATGACGTGTCCCCGTATCCATATCCAATTTTGGATACATACCCCAAGATCCTAAGATTTAAATTTATGAAGGTCTGACACTTGGATACACACCCGCACCCGACACTCGCACCCAAGTCCATGTAACATAGCTGCCAGCAACAGACTAGGGGCAAAGTGGACAGAAAAAAAAGACAACCATTAAGAGCTCAATATGTAATATATAGGCAATTTCACTAATTCATAGGAAAAAAGGTTGTGTTTGGATATTGAATTTGAAAAGGGATTTGTGAAGGGAAAGGAAAAGGGGGGAAAAAATAGCATAAGGCTCCATAAATCCAAGATCCAAACACACCCTAAGGCAATCTTTGGCCTCCCATGAGAATTGAACTTTAGATTCCATGTCATATGGCGTTTGAACACACAAGTCATTAATGTTTCATAGAGAAACCTCCAGAATCACCAAAACAAGATGGACGTTATGTCATTTGCTAGGATCCCAGAATGCACTGGTCTTAAACAATCTTCACAATGTCTAAAAAAGCGCACAAAAAAAACCCAACAAGTTCACATCAAAATAGAACTATACAAGCATCCAAACCAAACCAAACCAAGCCTTAAGTCCCATCAAATGGGGTCGGCTATATGAATCTTTCTTCTCCACACGGCCCTATCAAAGGCCATTTTGTTAGTCAAATTAAGTAAATCCATATCTCTATTCACAACACTAGCTAACGTTAATCTAGGCCTACCCCGTCCCTTAATACTTCTACCTTCTATTACAGCATCGCATCTCTTCACTACAGCCTCTATTGGTCTCTGTTGAATATGGCAAAACCATCTCAATCGATTTTCTCTCAACTTATCTTCTATCGGTGCTACTCCTATCTATTCTCGAATACACTTATTTCTAATTCTGTCCTGTCTTATCTATTCTTGTCACACATCCACCTTAGCATCCTCATCTCAACCACTCATCTTATCTACATATTGTTTCTTGGTTGCCCAACACTCCGTCCTATACAATATCGCCGGTCTAATAGTTGTTCTATAAAACTTACCTTTTAGTTTAGTGAGTATTCGTTTATCGCATAGTATCCCAGATGCACTTCTCCACTCACACTATCCCGCCTTAATCCTATGAGTCACATCCGAATCAATCTCCCCCGTTGTTGTGATAATTGACCCTAAATAACAAAAATGTTCGCTCTTAAGCAGTTCTTGATTCTCAATCTTCACGTCTTCTCTACTTTCATTGTTACTGTTACTAAATTTACACTCCATATAATCTGTCTTAATTCAACTTATCCGGAATCCTTTAGATTCAAGAGATTTTCTCCAAATTTTCAACTTTGTGTTAACTCTTTCGCTAGTCTCATCCACTAGCACAATATCGTCTGCAAAAAGCATACATCATGACATGTTATCCTGAATATTTCTCGTCAACTCATCCATAACTAAAGCAAAAAGATAAGGACTTAAGGTAGATCCTTGGTGTAACCCTATAGTGATAGGAAATTCATTTGTCTCTCCAGTAGGCGATCTAATAATGGTCACCACCCCTTCATACATGTCCCTAATCACATCAGTGTAACATTTTGTCATCCCTTTCTTCTCTACATCCACCATATTATATCCCAAGCCACTCTATCATATGCTTTCTCAAGGTCGATAAACACCGTATGCAAATAAAATTTTCTTAGAAAATTTGAAACCTTGATCAGAAAATTGTCAATAATTCATACCCAGTATTCAGAAACAAAAATGAAACCAAAATAACAAACATCTAAAACATACCCATTGCACAATATCCAAAACAACATGTAAAGCTTTAAAATGCAAAATAGAACTATACAATAAAGTAAGTATGTGAAGCTTCAATTTTCTTAGAAATTCAAAACCCTGGTGAGAAAATTGTCAATTACACATACCCAGTATTCAGAAACGACAACCAAATCAAAATATCAAACATCTAAAACAAACCCATTACCCAATATCCAAAAGTAGAACTATACAACTAACTACGTGAAGGTTCAATTTTCTTAGAAAATTCAAAACCCAAATTACGAAATCAAAAGAACAAAATCTAAAGCATACCCATTACCCAATATCCAAAACAAAAACATCTAAATGTTCTAAAAAATTCAACAATGAATTGTAAACATATCGATAATTTGGGTTCGCTGTTTGAAATCAGACCTGTCCAAATGCTTGTGAGATGGCTTCGAATCCATTTCCTGTCCGTAAATCGACATGGAAAGCAAGAACATTGGGAATGGCTTCGAGCAGCGGAGAAGGCGGAGGACTGGAATGGTGGGTGAAAGCTACATCGTAACAAAAAGGGGATGTTGTTTGTGCTCTTGCTTGGGTCTCTGAAAGGCCTTGCAATAGATGCTGGCCTAAGTAACCTGTGCCTCCAACCACTAGCACTTTCTTCTTGCTCATTTCTCTCTCTCTGTCTGTCACTCTCACTCCCACTCTTGGGGGATTACAGTTTAGAGATGTGGTTTCAGAGAAATCACAGATTTAGTTTGAAACTACTCGTACCCACTACCAACCCAGTGTTTTTGTGTGTGTGTGTGTGTGTGGTGTGTGTCTGTCTAGAGAGAAGGGAGAAGGGAGAAGATGGGGAAGCTTCGCATGTTTTGGAGTTTGGGAAGTAGTCTTCCATTCCAAAGCATGAAATTCACATAACCAAAAAACTTTTGGGTAAATTGCACCGAGCACTCGCAGGTTTAAAAAAATACGCTAAGGCCTTGTTTGACAAAAGTTAAAATTGGACTTTCTTGGTAAAAATTCAGTTGACAAACAGGGTGTAAGTCTAATAATTTTAACATATGTTTGGATTGAGTGATTTTGAGAGAAAATAAAAGAAATTGAGAAGCATGTATTTCTCTTACTTGTTTTGATGACTTAAGTGGAGAGAAATGGATAGAACCGAAGAGAAACTCATTTATCTTATAACTTTTATTTACAATCTTCTCAAAAGTGGAGAGATTTGGAGAGAAAAGAAACTAACAGATTCTTATATTTTCATAATATCAATTTTGTCCCTGTAAAAATAAAAGAAATAAAATGATCGACACCCATGTCTTTAAGGGCTTTTCATATCCAGCAAAATGTTATTTTGATGATATAACATAAAAATGCTTCTTTTCTTTTCTCTTATGAAATCTAATCAAACAAGAATGAGATAAATCAGTATAATTTCTTCTTTTTTTAATTTCTTATTTATTCAAATAAGAATGAGAGAAATCACAATCATTTCTTTTTCTTTTCTCTTTTAACTTAAGAGATCATTTCTTTTTTTTTTTCTTTCCTAGGTTTCCAAACATAGTGTAAGATAATTATACTGACTTTTTTTTGATAGACGTTGTCAAAACACAAAAACAAAATAATATAAAAGTATACAGTGTGTTTGGTTTCAGTTTTTTGAATTCAGTTTTTAAAAATTGAGTTTTTTATTTTTCGTATTTTTTTGTTTTAAGTGAATATTTTTACAATTTTAAGTAATTTTTTTACTTTTTAGATGCTCTTACTTAAATGTATTTAAATAGTAAAATATTTGTGAAAAAAATATTTTAAAAAATTAATAAATACACAAAAATATGAAAAATGTATTGAATTTTCATTTTTTTTATTTTTGATATTTAGTGAATTTTTTTTTAAAAAAAAATCACAAATATTATACTTTTTGAATGCATTTATGTTAGACTTGTCTAAAAAAAATTTAAAAAAATGTTTAAAGTATTAAAAAAATACAAAAAATAAAAAAGTTAAATTTTCTGAAAAGTATTTTATGGAAACCAAAACCAAACAAGCTGATATATTTTTGTATAAAAAATATGGTAATATATATATTTTTTTATCCATATAACTAACAAATTATTGGTAAAAAGTAGGGCTAGGCAAACATCCATTCAATCCGTCAAAATCAATTGACCCGAACCAATCCGTCATAGAATAGATGAACGGACGAATACAGATTGATTTTTCCTAATCCACCTACATTTAGATGGATGATGGATAGGAAGTCACTCGACCCAACCTGATTCGCAAATACCCTTAAAAATTAGTAATAGATGAGCTATGCTTAAAATGATTGTGATTTACAACTGCATTTTTTTTAATACCGTTTTTTGAGTTATATTATTGTATTTTAAAATTAAAAAAATATGGAGCGTACACAAAAAAAAAAAAGTTGTCATATGTTTAATTAAATAAGTTAGTTATAATATATTTTAATTATTATTTTGATTATGTGCGTAGACGTTGTTTGGTTATGACAAATCTTGTAGTGTTTGTTATAAATTAATTATTACTTATTATAATTGTATTTTAAAGAACTAAAAGTGATTTGCTTATGACATTACATCATATCAATATCACAAAATATTTTAGATATGATACACTTCATTTTAAATATGCATTGTAAAAGGATCCTTTAAAACGATCCAATAATAAATCTAAGTGATTACAAGGGACAATCAAGGGACACTTAGACATTGGTGATATGAAGTTTTCTAAAAATGTGTTTTGAAAATACGATTTCAATTATTTTGTTAAAACAAATTCTTAAACTTGTATTTTCAAATAACAACTTAGTAGTATTTTAAAATAAACTAAGTGAAATTGATGTTATTAAAATAGTTTAAGATTATCTCATTCTAAATTGTGAAATACCAATGCAATATGAAATTAGTGTACATTTTACAAATATTCATGAAATATCTTAGTAATAATGAAAATTTGAAAACCTTGGGGCATGCCACTCAACTCCTATGCAATTCTATTTTTTAAGATCAATAAGGTTTATTAATCTAAGAATAATACTATATACATCAATTAGTATATTACTATATACATCAATTAGTATATTAATTAATTTATTAATAATGATGTGACATAATTTAAGAAATTTTTAATATTTAAAATGTAATTAATAAATAGAGTCAATAATAATATTATAACTAATATTAATATACTAATTACGTATTACCACAGTTAATCTAATACTCAATTCATTGAAAATTTAAACTTAAGTAATTTTATGATTACAAAGCATCAGATTCACATCACCAACGACTAGATGCATTCATCATGGTTGGTGGGTGAAGTAATGAATGCAATGATAGACATTAATTCAAAAGTCAACATTGAGAGTCAAACATAATTAATGTCAGATGGAAACATAATGGGGCCATTTGGAAGCAATAATACTTGAGATTCCCAGTGGGGTGACTCTACCATCCCACTATTTTTTTTTTTGGTTCAATTTTCATTTATTTATGTTTTTTAAATCTTGTTCTCACAATGAGTCATGTGGAGTTGGGGTGCTGGGAATCTCACCACGATTGATTTGGAAGTGTCTTTCCCAAAATAAGTTAAAATAATAATTTATATTTCAAATTAGGCTTAGTTTGGGCAAAATTTTCAAAATAAGCTGAAGCATTATTCCAAACCATGCTTTCACCATATTTCTGGCTCAGTCACAGAAAATTGATAAAATCGTAAAAGCGTGGTTACAAACCACACTTTTAATTAAGAAAGCGTGAATACAAACCACACTTTTAAGAAAATCTGTTTTATAAACAAAGTGTGGTCTACGCTTTTCATGAAAACTATTTTGTAAATAAAACGTGGTTAGAAACCACGCTTTTAACGAAAATTTGATTTTAAAAGAAAGCGTGGTTCGTAACCACGCTTTTAAAACTTATATAAAATCCCCCAGCTCCCTCATTTGCAATCACGCTTTTTATACTTCGTTTTTTTTCCCCTCCAAACCACACTCTGCTGTCTCTCACTTTCTGCTCTCACTCTCTCTCTCTGTGGGTCGCTCTCTACTCTCTCTCTCTCGCTGGTATGACTGTCTCTCTCTCTCTCTCTCAGTTTGAATTTTATATGTGTTTATTTTGTTTGTGAAAATGTGAATGTGGGTACAATGTCGGTAGAATAGGAAATTAATATCAATATGGGTAGAATAAGCTTTGTGAATTGAAATTGTGGTTTTGAATTGGTAAAATCTTGTGGTTTTGAATTGTGAAAATGTTCTAGGGTTTTCAATTGAATTTGAAATTAGAAATTAGGGTTAGGGCTAACCCAAAGTTTTTGTTTGAATTTGTCTGACAATTCTAGGGTTAGGGTTTCAAATTGAACCCTACCCCTAACCCAAAGTTTTTTATTTTTTATTTTTTAATTCACAATTGAATTCTAAGGTTTTTATTTTTTAATTATTAGACAAATGTTCACAAAAATAATGAAAAATAAAAAATTTAAACTCTCTTAAAACAGATAATAAGAATCTTATAAAAATTGTAAATTATGTATAAAAATGAGTGCAAGAGAGAATGAATAATTCTTTTAAACTCTCTTAATGACTTTTTTATTTTTATTATTTTTTATATTTATTAGTATTGTTTAAACATAATTACTAAAATTTGCGTATATAGATTAAGATATTAAGGAATCATTTCAAGAACTGAAAAAGATAAAAATAAATAAATAAATGATTTTGTTACTTCATAGTTTACCAAAATTCAGTACACAATTTTTAAAAATATAAAATTATATGAAAACAATAATTTAAATGTAACAAAATTTCACTTAAATTTGGATTTTTTATTTTGTTGCAAAATGAATTGAAGCATATATAATGAAGATAAAAAAATATACCTGACACAACAGAAAAACAAATGGACCTCAAAGAATAGGAAAATGCATTTGTACCTTTTGGTGAGAACATAAATTTTTGGGGGTGAGAACAAAAATTTTTGGGCAGCTACTCTCATTCTCAAAAGGTTTTAATTGGGTCTTTTTGTACGTTTTGGTGATTACCTAAATTATGTATTCAGGTCGTAGGTAAAGATGATTAAACTGTATGGGCTGAATTACCTAAAAATTTATGTACATGTTGACAGCTTAGGATTTAGAACTTCTTTTTGTATATGTAGGGCTGCAAACGAGCCGAGCTTTAGTGTATTTGGGCTTGTTTATTAAGATTTTAACGAGCTCGAGCTCGAGCTCGAGCTGAATAAAAATTTAACGAATCGAGCTCGAGCCGAGTTGGCTTAGGCTGGACTCGAGTTCAAGCCTGTTCACGAACCTTAACGAGCCAAAAAATTTATAAATTCATACTTGCATGTGAGACTAAAGTTACAATTAAAACTTTGATTATACAATTATATATACAATATATATAAACATACTAAAAAAAGTCCATATTTTACTAAAATAATAATATCTACTACCACTATTATATAAATGTACTATCTATAGTTAACTATTATTTACATTTATATTTTTTAAATAATAAATAGCAATATTTCTCTTATTTTTTATACATAATTTTATATTATTAATATATAAATATAAATATTAAACGAGCCAGCTTAACGAGCCGAGCTTTAGACTGTTTGGGCTTGTTTATTAAAAATTTAACGAGCTCGAGCTCGAGTTCGAGCTCGAACGGCAAAAAAAATTAACAAACCGAGTTTGAACGAGCTCTTAGCCGAGCCGAGCTCGAGCTTGTTTATGAACGACTCTGTTCATTTGCAGCCCTATGTATATGTATAAAATAAATAAAATATAGTACATGTTTATAACTTTTTAAAAATAAACATGTTTACTCTTATCGTATTTGGAGTAGGTTATCAAAATTTCAAAAATTTATTGAAACATATCAGGAACTGTGAATTAAAC